TATATGTTTGAGTTGACATAAAATATTGTGTTGTTGACAGAATAGAATTCCAGAAGTTGCATGATTTAAAGTTCAGAGGCCACAATGGCAAAGACCTGATCACCTTTGGTTTCTATCCTGGGCTCTGGAATGACCATTACAGCCCTGCCTGAGGAAAAARGTTCAAGAGATTTACATTTACTTTTAGAAAGGAATGACAAGTCAAATGAAAATGAATTAATAAATAAAATAATTTAATGACAAGGTTTATCATTAAAACAAAAAACATCTGATCAGTTTTTACAGCTTGATCAAATAAACAATAGTTCATAAAACTGTAGAATTATCCAAACTCCATAAAGTTTTGAGAGAAATCAGCAACTGTAATTTTTAATAAGTTGCAATTCTTTATTTCATAATTTAAATTAAAAGATGTATTCCACCTTGGTGTTCTTCTATGCTTCCATTAGGTGAAGGCATTTGAAGTTGATTCCCATYATAATGGAGGTTTTTCTTTCCTTTGTCTCCAGTGTGCTTCTCAGGATGGGAGACTCAATCTGCTGACTTTCTTAGATAATTTTAACCGATTGGCATTTTAGAATATATCTAAATGTTTTTGGGAGAAATGACCATTTGACTGTCCATTAGCCAAGCTGACCTCTTCGCGATCTCCTCCTGGTATGGTGCAAAGACGAGCTAGGTCCTGTGCAGACTGGCTGGGAATTCACGGAGCATTCTRCCTCCTGTCCTCAAGATGAAGAGGCTTTGTGCTGCAGAGCTCCAGGCGAGAAGTAATTAGAGGAGACTTTCTGATGCAAAGGAATGTTGCACCCTATCATCGTAGCTCTGACAACCATTCAAAATTTATAGTGAAATGGAGAAAGCAGTTGTAAAATTTAGTTATCTTTATGTATAAGCAGTAAACACCAGATGGTTCTAGTTTTTTTTTCTTTTATGATTGTGTCTAAGACTGATTAAAATATGCGCAAAGATTAGATTTTAACATCACGGCACAACATAAAATAATTCAAACGCATTTCCTCAAACTTATATTAACCTAACTCTTCTTATATCAAGTGCTTGGTCCGTAGAGACGTTCAAATCTCTGCACATTTATTTCTTGCTATTGCCTTTCTAATATTACTTTACATTGGATTTGAATATTTTATTTTACGTTATTTGATTTAACTTTAAAGCACTTTGCTTAACCTTACAGAAAAAAAAAAGAAATTTAGGTTTGTTCTTGGTTAATATGCTTTGCAAAACTTTTTTGCATTTTATTTATGCTGTTGTATCAAATCAGCATAAATTGATCTGCTGGAAAAGGGAGAACAGTAAAAGTTACAATCATTCTTAAAAAAGGTTATACTGTATATCCTTTTGCTGTTTTGCTTATTTTTATTTGTTGGTTTTAATTTCACATTTGCCCATTTTAATTATTTTGTGAAGCCTTGTGTATTGAAAAGTTAATAGTTTGAATAGTTTGACCTACCACATTGCAAAAGATTGCTCTTTTTTTCTGTCATGCAAATGAAGACAGTTGGTCTTGATTTTTTTCTGCCCCCTTGTGGTACATGAGAGTATAAAAGTAAGACACACCTTCAACCATATAGCCTGGCTGCTGCACAGCTTTTTTTTTTTTTTATCGGGGCTCTGCAGGCATTAAAGCTTGTTTTTAACAACCTGAAAACAATAAACAGAAGCCATGTGGCTCTTTATTCAAATCAATGGGTGAATTGTGAGTCTGATTGGTGCTGTGTTGAATGTCCTGTTTGACATAGGTCTTCTATCCATTCTGTACCATAAGATTGGATAGAAGGCCTTCATCAAACTGGACTGGACTGGTGCCAGAGCTGACAGCATGTATAAATATGGTGAATATAATCATTTGCCATAGTTTTCTGCATTGTGGGCACCATTTGAAAAGTCCTTCAAAAAGAGGATAAACTGGCAGAACATTCATAAATGTTTTTTTTTCTTGTGAGGCTGAGTAATTTAGAGATATAAACATTAGAAATATATATTTTAGTTTTAATGTGTCATGCTATGTATGGGACTACATGTCTAATGGTGGATGCTCAGTAAATACCTGATAAACATTAATGTCCAAATATTTAAATAACCTTTATCCATCGAGTCTCAAGTTTCTTCTTAAAGTTGATGACTTGCCATTGTGTTCACAGTTATCAAATCAGCTTTATTTATAAGTTTTAAAACAGAGTACACTGAAATCAAGTGCTGTACAAACAAATCAACAATTAAAAACAACTAAAGCAACAAAAACAGCTAAAACAGGATAAGGTCTCATGCTAGGTTAAAAGCCAGTGAATAAAAATAGGTTTTAAGAATTGAGGAGGCCTGCCAGTTATCTTTAAAACCATTGCCTTTTACAAGTTTTTTTTTACAGAATTTATTATTATATGTGACCACAAAAATGACAGGATAGTATCATAATTACCACTAACATAGAAAACCTTCAAAATTAGTAGCCAATTCAGTTTTATAAATAAGCAGCTTGGTCCTTATCTTGACAATGTTAGTGCAAAGACAAAATCCCCAAGAACCTTTTTTTTTTTCATGAAGTAGGAGTAAAGGCTCTGATGTCTCTGCTTTCTTCTTTTCGTAATCCAGTTCCATCTAGCGCTCAGCTGCTTGGTCTTCAAGGTCGGAGTTAACTTTCTGCATGRCTTGATATCGTAGAATCATTTCATCTGCCCTGTCCTTCRGTACGCAGATTAAACCTGACTGGTCTTCTATGCTGGACCACAGCATCTTTTTGTCCTCACAGTTCTCCACAGCATGATTTTGAGGTTTCTCATGTGACTTCTGAATATTTTCACCATGCTGTCAACAAAAACAACATGGAATAAAACATAAAACAATAGTTCTCCTTTCCCTCCACACTCAGTCACCCACCCTGAATCTGGTTTCTTCCTACTGCAGCTTTGTCAGGATCTGAGAACATATATCTAAAGAACAGGAATAGGGGTTGCAGTTGCACAGTGGTGAGCACTGTAGCCATATAGTGAGAAGGGTGCAGGTTCAGATTTTGACCTGGGGTCTTTTCGGGTAGAATATGCACCTTTTCCTGTGCATGCATGGGATATCTCTGGGTACAGTATCTTCATCTTCCTCCCACAGGTCGAAAAGATGTTCGTGAGGTTAACTGGAGATTCTAACTTGCCCTTAGATGGGAGTGTGTGTGTGCACAGTTGTTCTGTCTGTGCTGATCCTATCACAGACTGACCTGTCCAGAGWGTAGCATGATGAGCTTTACTCCTGCTGTTTGCTGGGATGTGCCCCGGCTGTACTGTGACCCTGGACAGGATCAAGAGTACAGAGGATTTGATCTGGAACAAGTGCAGATTGTGTTAGAACAGTTAGATGCTGAAAAACATATGGAGAATGGATAGTAACAATAAACTATTGTCATAATAGAGAAACACAAAAACTATAGTGTGAATGCTATAAGGCAAAGTTTCCCAACCAGGGGTATATGTACACCTTGGAGTAAGCGAGCATATTATAGGGGAAACATGAAAAAATTTCCCAGGTGTGTAAAAGATAAAAAATAAAAATAGGACTGAGATTTATAGGGACCTATGATTTCCGCAATGTGGAAATGGTAGACGGAATCACAGAACACAAACATATATTTTGGACAATACAATGTATTTTGGATGCTGCTGTTTCCTGCACCTGCCATTACCTCGTTTTTTCTTTACGTAATTACTTATTCCCTTTCAAGGCAACATTTTTATCTTTGTTTAATTTGAGAAGAAAAGAATAAAATGCCTGAAAAATAAACATTCTAGGGGGTTAAATAAATAAGTTTAATTTAATAATCAGTTGCAGTACATTATAGTTTTGGAGAATCATCATTATGTTTGACTGAAGAGGTACTAGTGGTATGACAAAATGGTTCAGGGGCTACATAAGTCTAAAAAGACTGTTTTCACTTCAGGCTGACTCTAGAAGACCTCCAAATGTTCCTCAACAATTTTGAGCAACTTCTGATGTAAAGCACTATTAATACTTGCATTATAACTTTATCTGCCCCTAAGTTGCTGTCTTTCTTGCAATTAAATGGGCACTCAGAAGTTGCTCAAAATTGTTGAGGAACATCTGAAGGTCTTCTAGAGTCAGCATAAAGTGAGAGCAGTCTCTGACAACTAGCCGTTTAGTTGCAATAAAGACAGCCAGTTAGAGGAACCTTAATTGTAACATGTCATTATTGGGAGTGCCATTATTTTGAAATGCTACATCAGATATTGCTCATAACTGTTGCGGGATATCTGGAGATCTTCTAGAGTCAGTCTGAAGTGAGAACAGTCTCTGACACCTAGCCGTTTAGCTGCATCAAAGACAGAATTTAAGAAGAAAAAGAATGATAATGAACACGTTCCAAGGGCTTTTATTTTGAAATACAACACCAATCGGTAGCTTCTGTTGGTTACCAATATCTGGAGGTTTTTTTATGTCAGCCTATTGCATGACTTGTTTCCTGAAAAAAAGGTAAAAAATTTTTAACATTCGTAAATATTTAAGGAATAAATTAATGCAAAAAACAGTGGTAAAAGTAAAAATATAATTAATTTTAATTTAATTTCATAGCAGTAGTGGAGGGAGGGGATGGGGGAGATGGAGGCAGATGATCAGCTGTGTTTAATTAGCTGAATCCTATATTTTTCCCCAACACATTTACATGTCTCTGGATATGGGGGTGGGGGTGGGGGGGGTAAAAATTTTTTTTTGTGGGAACACTAGTAGCTTTGTTGGTTCAATTACTGCTTTGAGTCAGTTTCAGCTTCAGCTTTTATTATGAAAGCACCTTGCAAGCGTCGCAAACGTGATTGTCATAATGCACAGCATTCATGTGCACAACAAAGCCGATTGAGTGCTGGCGCCGTGGCTTGGAGGCTAGGTTTACCGCAGTCACATGTACCCTGCTTCTGTTATGCCCATGTTATTTTGCCTAGTAATACAAACAGCGCCGTTTTTTTATTTTCCCCTTTCTTCGTGGGCCCCCTGGTGGGCGTGGACCCCTGGGCCCATGCCCAGAATGCTCTTAGGCCTTGGCCCTATGATTTCTGCAATGTGAAAATTGCAAATGGAATCATGAAATAATACCAAATGAAATCCAGTATAAAACATGGATTCTCATGGAATTTGTTCATTTAGGTGAGTTTCTGAAATATTTTGGACAATACAATGTACAGTATTTTGGATGCTGCTGTTTTCTGCAGCTGCCATTAACTCGTTTATTTATTTGTTTGTTTTTATCTTTAAGTTTAATTTGAGTTGAAAAGAAAAAAATGCCTGAGAATCGAACCTTCTAAGGGGTTAAATAAACAATTTTCATTTTATAATCAGTTGTAGTACATTTTAGCTTTGGAAAATCACCATTACATTTGACTGAAGGGGTACTAGTGGTATGACAAAATAGCTCAGGGGGTACACAATTTTAAAAAGGCTTAGAACCACTGGTCTAAAGTCCTGAAATGTTCCAACTTTTTCAGGAACTTGGACAGTTCCTTCAGGCTTTCACACTGTCCAGGGTCCTGAAACATTCCATCACTTTCATGTCCATGGGCAGTTCATTCAGCCCTTCACACTGTCCAAGGATCTGAAACATTCCAGCACTTTCAGTACCATGGACAGTTCCTTCAACCCTTCACGCTGTCTAAAGTCCTGAAACATTCCAGCACTTTCAGGACCTTGGACAGTTCCTTCAGTCCTTCACACTGTTTAAAGTCCTGAAACATTCCAGCACTTTCAGGACCATGGACAGTTCCTTCCATCTTTCACATTGTCCAGGGTCCTAAAACATTCCAGCACTTTCAGTACCATGGACAGTTCCTTAAGCCCTTCTCACTGTCTAAACTAGCATTGATTCCCAACCAGGAATCAGCAGCTTGACTTCTTGTTTAAGCTTCTGAACTAATCTTTCTTTATCGTGTAATTTTTCAGCTGCAGTCGTGTGTTTTCCAGATTTTGTTGGGCATTCTGGATTTTGTGCTCCTTCCTGAAAGAAACAATTGCTTGATTGTTGGGAGCCAGATCAGCGAATCTTTTTTCTAATGTCTCTGCTTTCTTCTTTTCGTCATCCAGTTCCATCTAGCGCTCAGCTGCTTGGTCTTCAAGGTCGGAGTTAACTTTCTGCATGGCTTGATATCGTAGAATCATTTCATCTGCCCTGTCCTTC